TAAACCCGCACGACAGCAGCTCCTCCCGAATTTTTCCTACCCGCACGGCTCCAGTTCGCGAAACAGAGAGCTCCCGCACGGTCCTTACCTGCCGGCTTCCCTTCCCGCCGCTTCTCCCGCCGGCGCCGCCTCTCTCCGGCGAAGTTGAAACTTCCGGCCGCCCTCTAGGAGTACTCCATATTGGATTTTAGGTATTTTTTTTAGGTTAGGGTTAGATTTTTCATGTGTAAGAAAATCTAGGGTTTATGTTTTTTTGATTGTAAGAAAAACCCTTAATTTCTCATTTACGCAATTCTGTGTCCGTGAGGCTTACGCCTCAGACCGCCTCGAGGCTTAATTACGCAATTTTAAACCTTGGCCAGCAATACTCATCGATAGCAAGACCAGCTCCATTAGAACTTGTTGACGGATCCCTTACACATTCAAGACTTTCAAATGCAAAGATGATATTTGCAAGTTAGATCTAATATTTAAAAAAAAAACTAATTCAGTATATTTACAATTTATATTCTGGGTGTGACTTTGAATGCCCATAACTTGGTTTAAAAAATCTTCAACTTTGATGATTCGGAATGAAACCTGCAATAATTTAGCAGTAATTTCTAGCCATTATTATAATATAATGTATTAAAACATTGAATAAATTATATGTGCTTATAATCTTACTATATATGGCATGAATCCTATGAGTATTGATGCCTGAATATGGTAAAAAATGCATTACATGTGCATTCCTATTGTGTGATGAAATGTTATCCTAGAAGGGTGAGGGCTTCGCATTGTATGTTTGTTTGTTATTGTACGCAGAAATGTTGGGAGTTATTGTTTGATTTCCAAATGGAGCACTGAAGCCATGAGGAAATATGACGTTACTAGGTGGTTGGAAGCATCATGATGTCCAAGGGTGGGCCAAAAAAATAAGCAAAAGCAAACCAAAAGTTAAAAAATTGATTGGTTCATTTATTTTTGGCTTTAATTTTCTCTAGCCTCAATTTGTAAGTTTCCTACACGTACTGGTTTGGCTTAATTTAGGATTGGAATTTTGGGAAATCAAATAAAACAGAACTAAAGTATACATAAGTGATGTATCAGGGCTCCTCTAACAAAAAATATAAAGTTTACATCAAGTATTTAACATATGAAACCTTTTTTAATTTTCCTAATGTATGCTAAATCCAGCAAAACCAAATTGAAAATCAATGTAAACAGAAACAGAAAAATCTCAAAATAGTTCCTAAATTATTCATGTGAGATCAATGTAGTTCTAGAGTTCACTCCAATTTAGTCCCTTGACTATAGAATTGATCTAAATATCCCACATGTTGTAATTGTGATATAAAATTTATCCTAATTTAGTCCCTCGACTATACAAAATTGATCCTATTTTAGTCCCAAATGGAATATTTTGGATCAATTTTGTATAGTTGACGGACTAAATTAGAGCAACGTGATACTTTAGGATTAAATTGGACATATATGAATAATTAGGGGAATATTTTGAAATTTACCCCAAAACTGAAACATACTAGTCCAATCAATTGTTTATTGGTATATAACTTTAAATAAAAAGTTGAACTAAAACTGAACAAAACATAGAACCAAGGTTTTTATTAGTTTTACTTTCATTGATTATATTTTGTTCCTAAATTTGATTTGATAGCAAACGATGATCAGTTTAGAATTAAATTCAACCAAGCCCACCCTTATCTATTGATGGGAAGTGCAAAAAGGATCTACTCCACCCATGCGTTTGAAGATTGTAAAATCATTGTGAGGATAAGTTTTTTTTCGTTGTATTTTCCTTTTTGAAGCATAAAGCTCATGCCTATTGTCACTTGAATAATCAGGGGTTTGACATCATGATATTGATTTTACAAAAGTTGAGGTTAATGCTAATAGTAGATTACATTTGCTCAATAGTCAGCCTGGTGTGTTAGTCCCCAACAATTATTGTCAGGATATTTGCTTATATCCTGGCCAATGCAACACTCAATATTGAGTGCATATGAGAATTCAATTTTGTGTGCAAAGTTCCCCACAATGAGTGAAGAGTACATGGGATTGTTAGCTAACACTAATTGATTAACTTCCTAACCAAATAATTTATTCTTTATTGTGCAGGAATCTTTTGATTATTGTATAAAACAGTTTAACTTTATTCTCACTAGACATTTGCAAGAGGTTGTACCCTGGTGTATTCTTTTTGCTAATAAGACTAATGAAGGAATTGAAGGTAAACATGAATTATGGATGCCAACCTTAGAGTATAAAGGCTTTTGTTTGAGTAGATCTAAAATTGAATATATGGAGTATAATTTTAGTAATAATAGATCTAGTGGGGGGATTGTGACTTTGGGTGATCAAGTCATTAATAAGAGTACACGTTTTAGATATCCTTGGTCTATTATTCAGAGTGATGGTGAAACGGATGGGGATATGATTAGTAGAATTCAATTTGGATGGTTGAAGAGGAGGAATGCATCGGGCTTGTTGTGTGCTAGAAAAGTCCCTCTCAAACTTAAAACTCTATAAGATGGTAGTGAGACCTGCAATGCTTTATGGTGCAAAATGTTGGCTATTAAAAGAAAAGCATAATATTAAGTTAAGTGTTGCAGAGACAAAGATGCTCAGGTGGATGAGTGGCTTTACTCTTAGAGATAAGATATGAAATGACATAAACAAGTTTCTTTCCCAAACAAAAAAGAGAGATGTCATACTCCCTCTTCTACCTTATTCATAGTGATGACCCGAATCATCAAAATAAAACCTAGAATCATCCCAAACTTTTTTATGAATCATTTCATTGTTGACCCGAACCCGAAGCAGGTCGGGTTCGGGTTTCGAAAAACGACCCGTTTATAAAACCGGGTCGGGTTGACCCTAACCCAAATAAAGTCGGGTCAGTTACGGGTCGGATCGGGTTCGACCCGTAACCCGAAATTGACAGGTCTAATAAGATTAGAGTCGTCTTAGATGGTTTGGTCACATAAAGCGGTGGCCTTCCGATGACCCGGTTAGGAAAGTTGATGTATTAGATTTGACTTATGTTAAGAAAGGTAGAGATAGACCTAAATAGACTTAGTTAGAAAATATTAGAAATGACCTTTCATTATTAGAATTAGATAAGAATTTGACTATTAACATGACACAATGAAGAAAAAGGATTCAACTAGCCGACCACACATAGTGGGATAAAAGCTCCTTGTTCTTGTTGTTGTTATATAAAACAGTTTAACTTTAATAGACATCTTTAACCTTAATGGAGTAGAAGAGTTATAGTGCAAGTGCATATTATTATCTTGGCATATTATGTGATTGATGCTAATAAATACATCCCTATATCCTTCATGCATATTCATTAATAATTAACATAAATTATAATGGGCATTTAGCATTAGTGGGAGGACGTGGGATAGTTCCTATTAAGCAATTCTTAGCTCATCTGATCATTCATTAATTATTGTTTTTCTAATGATGAAACTATAATTGTTGAGTAACATTTTTATTTGATGATTATATCAAAGAGTTGTGCAAAGTAAGCAAGTGATGTAAGCTTGTTGTTTTATTTTCTTATTATATTCTTGTTGATTACTATTTATTTAAGTTCTAATATGATGAAGTATAGGCTTATGGTGTACCGTATATTAATTGCGTTCAAATTAGATAATGCTTTTAAAGGAATCTTTGGTTCTTGTTAGATAAATGCAACAAGAAATATATCATGATGCCATTCTAGCCATGATTTAAGATGTATGATAATCTTTCTCTACTTTCCCAATGCTAGTATGCTAAATTTTCGAAGAATAAATATTTGATTCAAACTATAGATCAATTTGTAAGAGAAGACAGTAGAGATAAAGTAAAAAATGTAAAATTAAAATTAAAAAAAAACAATTTGGTTCCAACCAATGGCTAATGGGTGCATTTTTTATTAAACATACTTCAATCCTCTCAATTTAGATTATAAATAAATTAAGATTGAATATTTCTTCATTGTCCAAAATTTTCTATATTTATCATTCTTTGTTGATTTACTTAATGTGCCATTAGGTTTATGCTGGATATATCGACAAGAACTTTCTTTCTTTAATATCACAATAATCTTAGTATGAATTTTTTCCATTTTTTTCACTTCCTTTAATATACAACAATGTTGCCATATGCAAGTAGTATCCTATACTTTCAAGACTGTCGTGCGCTTGCCCCAGAATTTTGTCCATGCTTCATGGATTTAAATCCAACCAATCAGTTTTTGAAGTTGATTATCAACTAAGTTTAAGTCGCTATATTTTCTTGCAAAGCTTCCCATGCAAGTATACAGCTTATGGAACACAAAACCAACAAGTTAATTTCAAAAGGAGTTTTCTTTAAATACATTTATATATTAAATACAACTCTGATTCAAATTTAATTAGCAAAGCAACACAGATAACGATTCATTGTCTTTTAGAAGAGAATATTCCATTATATGTTAGAAAGCATAATCAAAATGGGTGGGTTGGAAAGTTATACATTTTTAAGGATCATGAAATAGAAATACATATCATACAACACGGAAATTTTGAAAATTAAATCGTTTGAACAAAGAAGTGAACATGAGAAAAAGATAAATGCATGTACAATGATTAAGCAATAATATCGAGGAAAACCTGTTTCAAACTTGAATTTGATATTGGAATTAATACAATGTGAAAATCAAGATAGGTTGACATCTCAGTAATTTAGAGAACTACAAACTCCAAACATCGATTAGCAAGTCTTAGACAAACGACAAGTGTAATAATGTCTTCATAATTTCAGTGCATTACATAAACTCGAGCTTTTAGGAAAAATGAATTCCAACTTTTCTTTTCTTTTTTTTTTTTTTTTTTTTTTTTTTTTTTTTTTTGCTCTTTCAGTCTGCGCAACACCAAAAAGTTGAATGACCGGGGCAAGTGAATTGTTTCTTATGGGCATGGAGTTCATAGAGTGAAGCAATATAATAAATATTTTTTTTTTACCTTATTCATGTTGTAAAGAGCTTCCACCATTTCAGGAGGTCTGTTTCGTACTGCCACCGCAATCTAGGAATCCAAGACAATCAATATTTGTAAACTACTCTGCCGGCATAAAAGTATATTCTAAAAAAGAAAAATGAAATATGGGTGAAGTTTTTTCGACGTCATTAAAGCCTTTTATTATTGATGAAAAAAATAATATAGTTCCCATATAATAAAGATGAAGAACAATACAATGAAACAAAAACTTTTGAGAATCAACAACGTTTTTCTTTCGAAAAGGATATGTAAATCTTAAATTAGATAAAGAAAGAAAAACCTTTCTCCAATCTCTCCCATGTTTACGATAGGCTTCATAGAAACGTTCAAGCTCATCTCTGCCCCATTGAGAACCTAACATGTCTGACAGTTTCCTCTTCTGCAAAGCATGTTAAGCAAATATATCTAATAAAAGACGGATGAAAATTTTGAAAATCCTAGAAAAAATGTATGAGAGCCACTAAATATAATATTTGGGTAAGACAAAAAGCAACACAAATTAGAAAGTGACAGCATTCACTTTGAAGTTCTCCATCCCTCCTAACTAGATTGATTTTTTAAATCAAAACGGTTGATTTTATTTCAAATAATAGTTTGTGATTGCACACAAAAACTACTTTTTTTTTAATAAAGTAAGCCTTCATTTGGAACAGCTTTCTTATTGATTTCTAAAGCAGTTTTTTAGTAAAAAATATCTTGAACTAGATATCTTTATAATACAAAATTGCTTTAGAAAGCCATAAGAAAGCTGTCACAAACGAAACCTAAGAATTGAAAATAAGGCTAATGAGCAGGAGGAAATTATTCTATTGGAAATAAAAAATTGTTGCATAACACAAAGCCCTACCATGAAAATATTGAATCACACTTAAAGAACAACATAAGGTTAAGGAGCTCCAAGAGTTTGGCCCAAATGTAATTCTGATGGCATACAAAGAGACTGATGGTTCCATTAGTAGTTTGGGAATTGAAAGAAAACTAATTAAAATTCTGGGAAGGAAAACAATATGTTTTTCACTCAAATGATGCTCATTAGCTCAGTCAATAAGGTTAAGTTTTCAAAAGTTTTGTTGGGAACTATCCTACTCCTTGATGTTATTGAGGTAAAACCTAATCTAATGATTTATAATATTTTTTTTTATTTTGAAAAAAAAGCTAAATTTAGTTAGATGTGATTATTATTATTTCATGAGGTAAACTAGACTATAATCTAAACATGTTATTAGCAAAAAAAGAAAGTGAACCTCTTTTAAAAATATCATTACAATGTTATTAGAATATAAAAGTGTTGGGTATTTTTTGGGGTCATATTTCAAATGCTTTTTTTACAGTTAAAAAAGTGTCAATTTTGATTGGGGATGAGAATTTAAGTCAAGGATTAAAGACCAATCTATGATCAAATTGATTTTAAGCTTGGATCAAAATCAGAGAGCCAAGCTAGACGTGAATCGAATTTGGATTAAGTAGCCCAGATCCAACCCAACTAGCTATAAATCCGATACATATGAATACATGAATATGTAAATTCATGTACATATGCTGTATGTAGGACTGTTATTTGTATGAATGCATCAACATATATATGCATTTTTGTGCATCAATGCAGATATGGATGTATATATTTTTGCAAACCAAAGAATAACTTAGATAACTGAAAATCAAATCAAAATTTAACTCGAATTAAGCTTAAATTAACAGTACCCAATGCGGCCTAGCAAGAATCAATATCATATTTAGCTATCTTATAGTAGGCATCCCTAAAATCAAAATTGAAACAAATTTAAAAAAAAAAAAAAAAAACTTCCAATCTTGAGTTGAGGTCATATCAAATCAACATGGAAACACTAATAGTCCTAAATTTAATTTAAAATTGTTATTGCTAAATGTAGAAATATTTACAGAATAATATAAAGGAGGTTGACCTCAAAAAAATATTTTAAAAAATAACAAACAACCATGGTACTATCTTTTCATTTTATATCAATATAATAAATATAATTTTATTTGTCTTTAAGCTATATATATATATGCCCCCGCTCCCGCTGCATGTAGCTTTGTGCTCTGGCAACTCCTTCCACTAGCACCTCCTGTGCTCCTGTTTCCCTTCGACGCGCCCCTTCTACATCCATGGGCTCCAAAAGGACCTTCATATCGTCTGTCAAAGTTGGGGGTATTGGAGACGGTGTATGATCTCCTATCGCCGGCCTCAGCTGTGAAACATGAAAAACAGGATGAATGGCTGAGGTCGGTGGCAATCATAGGTGATATGCTATTGTGCCATTGTGTTGTACCACCTCGTAGGGCCCAAAGTATCGTGGGGACAATTTCTCATTCCTCCTCATGGCTAGTATCTTATGCTTGAGGGCCTCAACTTTAAGTAAACCATGCCTCCTGGTTTGAAGTGTACTTCTCTCATGTACTCATTAGCCTTTCTTTTCATGATTTGTTGGACTCTCAATAGATATCCCTTGAGCTCAAATAATACTATGTTCCTCTCCTTTAAGTACTAATCTACATTGGATATTAATATAGTACTATGTCCATAATGAATAAAATGAGGTGGATCTCTCCCATAGAGAATCCTAAAAGGGGTGGTATGTGTTGCTAAATGGTATGTGTTGTACCAATATTCAACCCCAACAATCCACTTTGTCCAACTTTTTGACTTATCTGATACAAAGTATCTCAAATAGGTCAATACACTTTTGTTAACTACCTATAGCTATTTGTCTGGGGATGATATGTTGTGTTTTCAAAATTGTCCCATGCAAACGAAACAACTCCTAAAAGTAGCGAAGGAATACCTTGTCTCTGTTTAACACAATGGATTATGGAAATCCATGCAAGCGCACCACCTGTCGTATGAAAGAAGTAGCCACAAAGATCGTGGTGTAATTGTGCATCAGAGGGATTAAGTGCGCATATTTTCTTAGACAATCCACTACTACCAGTATCACTAAAAATTCCTCTGCTAGTGGTAATCCCTTGATGAAATCCATCGTCATATAATATCACACCCTCTCTAGCAGAGCTAGAGGTTGTAGTAGCCCTGATGACATCATGGCTAAGTACTTGTGCCTCAGGAACACATTACATCTCGCTACCCAATCATCTTCATCACCGCGCATCCCCACCAAGTATAATTCTACTAACAACCGACTATAGTTCTTCTGAGCTCTTGAATGTACTACAACTGCGCTGCCATGAAACTCCTGCAACAATTTGGGGATGTATCCTGACCCCCTTGGTGAAACGAATCTCTCTTCATGTAGTAATTGGGATCCTCTCAGTGTGTAACCAAGATTACTGTCTGGGTTCTACAGCAACTCAACTCTGATCTTCCTCAGTCCCTCATCTTGTTCACTCTCCTATTTCAAATCTTCCCAATCTAGGACCATAGGTACTGACACAGCTGTCAACTGTGACTCATCCATCTTCTATGATAGTGCATCTATGGCCTTATTCTCTAATCCCGATTGATACTGAATCTCGAAGTCATGTCCTAGTAACTTGGACAAACACTTTTGCTGCTCCTCAGCCACTATTCTTTGCTCCAGTAGAAACTTCAAACTCCTATAGTCTGCCCTGATGATAAAATATTGTCCTAACAAATAGGGCACGAGTTTTGGATGTCCAAGACAATCACCATCAACTCCTGCTCCTATACGGAGTTGATCCTCGCCCTGGCTGACTGAAATAAGCAATGGGTCAATGGTTCTGCATAAGCACTGCCCCCAGTCCATATCCTGATGCATCCGTCTCCACCACAAATGGCATGTTAAAGTCAAGAAGTCCTAACACTGGCATACTGGTCATGGCTTGCTTCAGCTGCTCAAAAGCCAGTGTCGTTGCCTCCCCCTCAGTCAATGACCTTGTTAGCATCTCATACCCTCACACAATCTTCTGGTAATACTCGATGAGTCATAAGAACCCTCTCAGCTCCAATTTCTTAGGTAAAGGCCAATCCAACATAGCCTCAATCTTGGACTGGTCCATTGCTACCCATGCCTTGCTTATCATATATCCCAAATACTCCACCTATGGCTATGCAAAAGAATATTTCTTCAGGTTAGCATATAGTAAGTGATCCCTCAAAGTCTCTAGTACAGTCCTTAGGTGACCCACATGCTCTACCTCCATACGACTGTAGATAAAGATGTTGTCAACGAATACCAAGACAAATTTTCTAAGGTAGGGTTGAAAAACTAGGTTCATGAGAGACTGAAAAGTGGTCGAGGCATTGGTAAGGCTGAAAGACATCGCCAAAAAGTCATAGTGACCCTCATAAGTCCTGAAAGCTATCTTATGCACATCCCCCTGGCTTCTTTTTAATCTGGTGGTACCCTGATTTCAGGGCAATCATTGAGAAATTGATCATTCCAAACAGCTCATCCAGCAACACATCAATCACGAATATAAGAAACTTATCCAACAAAATTTCCTTATTTAGGACCTTATAATCCATGTAAAACCTCCAACTATCATCCTTACTTCACTAGTAAAACTAGAATGAAAAAGGGACTCACACTAGGCCTGATAATCCTCTCCTCCAGCATTTCTCTGATGAGCCTCTCTATCTCATCCTTCTTAATCTACGAGTATCGGTACAATCAAATATTGATAGGAGAAGCTCCCTCTTTCAGGGTAATAGCATGTTTGTGCTTCCGGGGTGGCCGTAATCCACTCATATACTAAAAAACCTCAAGAAATTATTGTAAAAGCTAATGAACACACTCAGGGACCTCCACTCGCTTAGAATCTCAAAGCCCCTCCAGGCTTTGTAGCTCCACCAAGTAGCCCAACCCTGATCCTGTATCTCTTCAACCATAGTTTTGAGTGAAACCATGATTCTACAAAGGCTGGCATCTCCTTGCAATGCCACCTTCTTCCCATCCATCATAATCACAATAATCAAGGACTTCCAGTCTACCTTTGTCTCCCCAATCATCTATAACCACTTTATCCCTAGGATCATATCAATGTTCCCCAAATTCAAGGGAAGAAAATCATCTAGCATCTATATGCCCTAGAGTGCAAGCACAAACCCTTTGCAAATCCCCCTGCTCCTCTCTACCTTCACAATTCTCATTATGACTCCAAAGCTCCTTGTATCCACCAACATCAATCCTAGGGGGGGTCCACACTCTGATTAGAAATAAAGTTATGAGTAGCCCGCTATCCACCAAGATGACCACTAGCTTCTCCTTGATCTGTCCCCTCACCTTCATGCTGTAATTTGGAGTTAATCCCAACACAGAATTAAAAGATACTTCTACCACATCAAGATGTAGGTGCTTGATGAGATCAAAAGAGTCTTAAAACTAAAGGAGAACACTTAAGAGAAATAGGACATGACTCAATCCAAAAACAAGTGAACAACCACCGATAAAACAAACTTGATGCAAGAAACTAAAGATGTTTTAGAAGAAAGGAAGAAAAAAAAAAGAAACTAAAAGAAACCAAAATTTAAAAACTAAAAAAAAAAATCTCTTCAGAACAACCAACTAGTGGTCACCACACATGTAACGATAAAATATGAAATTAGGTGTTCTTAAGAACATGTAAACCAGTGGTCCACCACAGCAATCCCGATCCAACACCAGTTGAAACTCCTCCAGCAAATACCAACAAACCAGCCAACAACAACACCTCTTACACCTTTTGTAGAGAAGAAAGATACAATGGGGTGGAAATTTATGGAGAGAAGAAATAGAAAGAAGCCTTAGAGAAATAAATAGGTAGAAGAAAAAGCTCTCAAGCTTAAGAAGAAACCCTCAGATATTTAGAGACAAATATCAAACTTCAACAACCTCCCAACAGCAGCCAACATCTCATTTAAATAGGGGAAAGGAGCTCAAAAGACACTGAAAGCAGACACCCCTTCAACCAACCAGAATAGAGGAAAAACCTAAGAGAAAAGGCACGGCATAACCACAAACTGAGCAGCCAGGGCCGCCTCAAAAGACCATCCAGAATCGGAACAGCAGGAGCCGAACAAACACCAAGAAAGGAGCATGGCAGCTCAGGAACCAAGCAGCCAATTGCTCAAAAAATCATCCCCCAATCAGCCACAACTCTCCAAACACCAAACATCTAAAGAAATATGGGTCAAGCCCGTTTAGATGAATTTCAACCCGACAATAATTACCCAAGGAACCAAGAAAGCTAGTAAACCAAAGGTGGACATGACCCAAGAGCACTCTACCTACACATGATCATTTATTGCCTTCCATTATTGGGGAAAAAATAAAACATAAAATCCATATTACAATAGAGTTCAAAATAAAAATAAAATGAACATGAAATGAAGTTTATTGCATGCATCAGTGCTCCCCTCCTGCTTCCTCCACTAGATCCTCATTGTCGGTCTCCTCCTCGCAAACCATAAAGACCTCGAGTTTGCGGACCTTGCACCGATGATCTGGTGCATACTTCTCATAAAAGTGAAAGCAAAGACCTTTCGCTCTCTTGTCCGGCACCTCTGTCTCTGTGAGGTGCTTGAAGTTAGCCCCGGAGCAAACTCCCCTACTTTTTTCTTTTGGTGCTTCTCACTGAAATGACATCGTCTAGTCTCGGTGCCAGTGAAGTCGAAGTACTTCAATAGGAGCCTCCCGCAACCCCACTCTTACTGCTCCTCTCCATATGTTTATGATCCTCTGCTATCTGGGCTAGCTCCATCATTTCCTGTAACCCCCTCGGTCTTAGCAACCGAATGTCCGCCATATGTCAGGCTTGAGGTCATTCATAAAATTTTCCTCCAACACTGCCTCCAAAATTCCCCTCAAACCTATCCCTATACTCCATGATTGTCCCCTCCCGACTCAAGGTAAGCAATTGTTCATGTATGTTTCCTTCCCAACTGACTCGAAAACATTCCAACAAGCAATACTTAAACTCCTCCGATAAATAGATCGGATATCTAGCCTCTCTCCACTATAACCAAGCGAGGGCTTTCCCCTCTAGATATAACTCTGCGGCTATAAGCTTCTCCTCCTCTCTCAACACATTCACCATAAAATACCTCTCCACTACCCGGTATATCCACCCACGAGCATCCTCCCTTCAAACACCGGTATTTTCAACTTCTTCACATTTGCTTCTCCACCTCAACTTCCTCTCCCATCAATGGTTTCCACCATGTATTGAGGGTGGGAATCCCACATTTCTTCCATCCTCCTCCCATGAACCGATCACCATGGCTTGGCTCGTCCGCCTCCCTCTCTGGTTCTCCACTCCCCTTGCCCAAATGGCCTCCCAAAAGTAGTTGGTCACCCTACCACCTCCTCCATAAAATCCACCATAAAACTTTCTTGTTGTCCCCTTTCCGAAAACCTTATCCCACCTCTTGGAGCCCTAGAAGGTGGCTCTTGATGAAATGAACTCTCTTCGTTAAAATCCTCCCTTCTGATCTCTTTCCCGTCAAATTCATCCTAGGGAATCTCGACCGAATCGTGGTGAGGGTTAGCCATTGGAACCATCGTCAGAGTTTTGGATTGCATCTCCATGATCTTCCTTATCATTTCATTCACCCCTCCAAATTGATTTTCCACAAATGAAAACCTTTCTTCATTGGTCGAGAACTTCTCCTTCACATAGATCTGAATTGCTCCATCTCGCCTTCCAGCGCATCCACCGTCTTTGCTTCCATTGTCTCCAAAAGATCTCACTCTCATATAAATTTGATGTGTCTTGTAAGTAAAAATAGCAAACAAGATAGAAGAAAAGCGTAGGAACACAAGGATAATGACTATTTTTGGATTTCTTCTTCAAAAACAAAGCAAGATACAATTGATCTATTATTCAAGAGGCAAATAAGCCCTCCCACAAACCCTAGCCGTCGCTAGGAGACTCACCAAATATAACAACAGCAAACACAAATTCTATGTAATCTGAAATCGCCCCATAGTTTGCCCTAAATAGGCATCCCTAATTCCCTCCAAAATCAGCCTATTTTGACTATATGATTCCCTCTCTCATTTGAATCTCTTTCCCTAAATAATTCTCAACCACCAAAAAAAATTTAAAGACTTCCTAAATATCTCTCCATCTATTTCCCCTCCTTACATAATGAATTAAAGCTCTCCAGAGCCCCACAGAGGGGCCGAAATTTTCTCTCTGTTGCTCTAATTCCCACCCATGACCTCTACTGGATTCAATGGGTTTGGGCCAAACAAAGCTCCCCCTGCCCGCTGCTCCAACTTCATGCTGGCGCAGCAAATTATTTTGTTGTTGAGTTCATTCGAACGTGCTGCTATTGTTTTACTGAATGAAAGCCAAATAGAATCATCTACGAGAAATCATCATCAATATCATCATTATCACAAATAACCATGATACAATCTTTTAATTTTACATTCAAATCATAAATATAATTTTGTTTGTCTTTAAGCTATATACTTTTCAATAGATATATTATTTAACAATTATCACATTTTATCTTCATAGATCTTTTTTACTAGCTTAACCTAAGCAGATTAACGATTAAATTTTCATATTTGAATTATTTTGTTGTTGAGTTCATCCATAAGGAAAAAATGCATTTGTGCCAATGTTTTACTGAATGAAGGCGAAATAAAATCATCTATGAGAAATAATCATTAACATCATCACCATCACTAACCTTATCCCAACTATTTGGGATAAGACTTATGAATCTTCATCCTCCATTTATTTCTATTTAAATTACATTAGGCACTAAACATATTCTATGCATATTTTGCACATTATCATCAATCTATTCAATTTCCTTCTAAAACTACAGATACGAAACCTATCTACGTTTCTTATAATTATATTTTTATCCTTTTTTGTATATGCTCAAACCATATAAATCTATTTCCCACTGCTCTACGTTCAATAGAAGCTAATCTCACCATCCCTTTGATATAATCATCCATCAATTTAGCGTTTCTAATTATGCCACAAATTAATCTTAGCATTCTTATTTTAATCATGCTCGGCATTTAATGGCATTTTTTGCTATTCAAAACACAAATCCATACAAAAAAATATGCCTAATTATAATATTATAAAATTATCATACAATACTATAAGGCATTTTAAAATTGTATATGTTAAAGATAGCAAAAAAACTTACTTTCATCTTTTTGCCTGGGTTGCCTCCGTCTTTATCTTGCAACTCTTCAATAACCTTGCTAAAGCGCTTGTTCACGTTTCTAGATTTTCTTGCTGAAGCCATCAAAGTTATCCTGCTTAAAGTTAATAAGATAGTTAGGAGTCATTTACTTATACAAAAGAAGCAAAGAAAAAAAAAAGCTTCAGCCATCATAAGATGTATGACTACACCACTCATAAGATGAAAGCCAGTCATTCTGGTTAGCCAAACAGCATAATCAAGCACAAAACAAGATATCAAAATTCATTTGCATCTATAAAAGTGAGGAAACAAAAAAAGGGTGAAAAATCATAAAATATGTGACCTTAACTAGACATGCTAGGAAATTAATCATCGTAGTGAATCACAGAAAATTAACAGCTAAGAATAGTTTACACAAAAGAAGTTCCTAAAGGAGGCTGAACCAAAGGCAACGAATAAGACTAACATATTCAAACTCTACAAAGTTGTAGAAACATTCACGTTCCTCAGCAATTCAATTGGAATATATTCTCTTCTCCCAACAAGAAATGATCACCATAAATTGCAAAATTAAAAAAAAAAATAAGGGACAACGTAATAAAAAGGTAAGTTTATGGAAATTGGTGCTGCCTATCATCTACTAGTGCTTTATTGAACAATAAGAGGATTTTAGGGTGCTTCAAAATATAATTTAATAGACTAAAATATCCATGAAAAACAACTTTTATACTTTTTCAAGATGAAAAAAAAAATCTAAAATATCCATGAAAAACTTAAGAAACTCTAATTTTCCATAACATTTCCATAACTAATTTAATAGACAAGTGCAGCAATCCCAAATGAACCGTTAGTTATATGAAAGCTAAAAAACAACTTTCTAGAAACAAGTTTAGATAGTTTTACAGAATAGTGATAATGGACTTTAACTTTTTACTTTGATTGATTAATTAATTGGATTATTTTAATTATTTTAATATTAATTAAGATTATTATATTTTATTATAATTGCATGGGACTATGATATCATCGCTATGTTGCACCGATACGGATACAGTGACACAGATACGACACAATACGGATACGGGACACGTCAATTCTTAAAAATACAGGATACAGGTACGGCGCTATTATAATTTATAAATCATACATAAAAATTAAGAAAGCAATCAAAGCATAATATTTGAAATTACCAAAAACAAAATGAAAGCAGCATCATTTGTAGCCTTCTAGCTTATAATATCAAAATAAAAGTAAGCATTAAATGTCTAGTACAACAACAAAACCATAAACATAAATTTTCTAGCACATGAAGTTTCAACTATTCAATAGAAGGAATTATATGATTAGCTTCTTCAGTGGTTTGTCATTGAACATCTATATCATCTTCAATAAATATCATAGCTTATTATAGCTTCTAATTCAGGCTCATCAAGTGAAAGATTAGCAATTTCTAATTTTTCCCATATCATCAAGGGACTCAAATCCATCTCAAAAATGAGAGAACCTTGCTCGCATCCGCGGAAGTAAATACGACGCGTCTTTTTTTCAGATTTCTGTTTGTTTTTCAAAGGACACGCATATCGGATATGTGTCCTTTTGAAATCAAATAATATTTTAATTGGATACGGCTTTGTCGTATCCGACACATTTCGGTGCCGTATCGGAAGTGTATTCGTGTATCGGATACAGCACACCTTCATAAATAGTTGTATCGGTGCAACATAGTATCATCGTCATATTACTAAAATTAAAGTTAGAGAGTTTTTAAAGAAAATGAAGTGTGAAAGAATTGTTGGACATGATGATATTCTGATAGAGGTGTGGAAATGCTTTGGAGATGAAGGAATGACTTAGCTTACAAAACTTTTCAATATTATTTTGAAGACAAAAAAGATGTCTGATTAGTGAAGTAATGTATTAATTCCTATTTTTAAAAATAAAGATAATGCGCAAGATTGTGTGAGTTATAGAGGAATTAAGTAATGTATCATAGTCATACATTAAAATTATGGGAGGGAGTTATTGAGCATAGGTTATGACGTGATGCTAATATTTCTCAAAATCAATTTGAATTCAAGCCGAGTAGGTCTACTATGGAAGCTATGCATTTATTGAGAGGTTTTATGGAGAAGTATGGAGAATAAAGAGAATCTACATATGATATTTATTGATTTATAGAAAACATATGAAAAAGTTCCAAAAGAAGTTCTCTGGAAAGTTCTAGAAAAAAAAGGAGTATATAATGCTTATATTCAAGTCATTAAGGATATGTATATAAGAGTTGTGTTCAAACACAAGGTGGTTTGACAAAGTATTTCCTGTTTCAATTGGACTACATCAAGAATCAACCTTTTTTTATTATATTTAAATGAGAACTTGACTCTTAATAAGACTAATAAAAAAAAAGGATTCATGTAGCCAACCCCACATAGTAGGATAAAAGATTGATGTTGTTGTTGCTGCCGCATGTGGTCATGTCAATTATTTCAAATCAATGCCAAAGTAGTTTTCACCAAAAAAATTTGTAACTTTTATAGTATTTTAGTGGTAATTTAATATGATTTTATCAAGGAATTATCTGCTTTACTTAGCAACATAATATGGTATGGTGCAGCACATCACAAATGACAATAATTAAGCCCTAAGCCAAATGATTTTCATGAAAATATGCCCTTCAATTTCAACTCAAAAAATCAGCCTATACCATTCAATAATACGACAAGTTACCATCAAAGTAACTTCAAATGAGTAAAATGCATGCTATCTTCATAGCTTCTATAACTTCAACATAGAAGATCTACCAATGGAGAGAAGTTCCCATGCTTGAATTTACAAATACATACAACAGGAGCTGATGGCTACCAAGGGCTTCTATGAAACAAAGAAATCAGTAGAATTGATGAAAATTTTCTTGAAATGGTTAGTTAGAAATAAAGGATCTAAAGGTTTTCGCTTGAGTAGATCTAAAACGGAATATATGGAGTGTAATTTTAGTAGTAATAGACCTAGTGAGGGGAGTATAACTTTGGGCGATCAAGTCATTCATAAGAGTACACATTTTAGATATCTTGGATCTATTGTTCAGAGTGATGGTGAAATAGATGGGGATATTATCAGCAGAATTCAAGTTGGATGGTTGAACTGGAGGAATGCATCGGGCTTGTTATGTGATAGAAATGTACCCCTCAAATTTAAGGGAAAATTCTATAAGATGGTAGTGAGGCCTGCAATGCTTTTTGGTGTTGAATGTTGGCCATTAAAAGAGAAGCATAATACTAAGTTAAGTGTGGCAGAGATGAGAATGCTCAGGTGGATGAGTGGCTTTACCCTTAGAGATAAGATACGAAATGAGCATATACGTGAAAAGGTTGGAGTTGCTCCAGTAGAAGATAAGATTAGAGAGAGTCGCCTTAGATGGTTTGGTCACATAAAACGGCGGCCTTCCGATGACCCGGTTAGGAGAGTAGAGGTATTAGATTTGACTTATGTTAAGAAAGGTAGGGGTAGACCTAAAAAGACTTGGTTAGAAAATATTAGGAATGACCTTTCTTTATTAGATTTAAACGAGAATTTGACTTTTAATATGACACAATGGAGAAAAAAGATTCATGTAGCCGACCCCACGTAGTGGGATAAAGGTTTGTTGTTGTTGTTGGTTAGTTAGAAATAAAGTTAAAGGCCCAAGGAGAAATAACACTTCATAGTGATTCTAGCATTGAAATGGACTAAAAGTACTAGTTGACCACCAATGCATTAGTAAAATCAAAGTTCATTTCAATAACTTGATAACACGGGAAATCAAAATAGATAAATTCATAATAATCCAATTACAAATAAATGTTTTCTTATCTTTGAATTAAAAATTATAGAAAATTTTCTGAAATTGCTAAAACCAAGGGAAGTATTATATTAATAGTGACGGCCACTTTATTCCCACAACTGGAGCAGCCATCACCACGTACGTAAACACTCACCATCTGATCAAAGCAAACCCAAGCCATCCTAACCATACATGTGTAAAGGCAACTGCCTCTTATGCATACATAGCAGCTCCACTAAATATAAGTAAACAGGGAAAATACAATAGAATACATATAGTTCCCAAACAGCACCTCTGCTCTTCCTTATGACTTACCATATTGTTGTAACTTCAATTGCAGCATACACTTCATGCCTTCATGGTGATTAAAAAAATAATAAAAAATTAAAAAATATACTTCATGGTGATTCTGCAGGTACAACTTCTACATGTATTGAAGACACTCGGCTACTAATTGCAAGCACTGTCTTAATCCCAACTACATACCCTTCACGTCAGCTCCATCTAACAAAGCCGGGCTGGTTGCCTCCACCAAACAACCCACTGACTGGCTCCTTCAGTTCGATCTGACTTCACACACTATGAACCTCATTGATCCCACCACCTATCATGTTTCAGATCAGATCACAGTCCACAATGGCAACACCCTTCCCATAGCTCACACAGGTCAAGGCTTACTACCTACTCCACTCATAAGCTTCATCTCTCTTCTATTCTTCTGTTGGAGAATTTTTATATCCTCGAACGGATTGCATATTTTATAATCAAGTACAGCATAAGAATGATGATATATTACCCCGAAGGATAAAAATATCATTTCCTTATGGACTCAACTATAAAATTTACAATTATTTAATAGAGATTCCCCCACTCAATGTTTGGTTGAGTGGGGCAAGTTGACAAATGCAAAACCCTAAATCCTATGTCAATTTTGCCATGACATTAGCATTGAGTAGGTACAACCTAGAATTCAACAAAACCTACGTCTCAACATGCATTTTGGGATAGAAAAATATCATCAAGTCCTATGGTCCATTTGTAGGCGAAGACTAAGCATGCAATATGAGTGCAAAATCATGCATTTGGAGAGCGTTGGATACCAATCCAACAACCCTACGCACATCGCCATTTCCTTTTGGCTCTCACATGAGAGCAACTTGGCAAAAATCACCGGATTTTCCCAAGTTTACAAAGAGGACAGCGATCATAGGATTTCGGGGAAGCATAAATTTAAGTTTCTAAAGGACATAAGGCTTGGGGACGTCAACCACACAACAATGGCCTTGGGGGAC